GGTGCCCAACCCCCCAATCGGTCCTACCCTGAGCGTGACTGAGGGTGGCATCACAACCTCCCAATCTCCCTGCTCTGTGCATGACAGGGGGCGGTGCCCCAACTCCCAATCGGCCCTGCTCTGAGCCCGACCAGGGGCTGCACCTAGGGATTGGGCCAGCCCTCTGCCACCTGGGAGCAGGCCTAAACCAGCAGGGCGTTATCTCCCAAGGGGTCTCAGACTGCGAGAGGGCACAGGCCAGGCTGAGGGACCCCACCCTTCCCCCCGAGTGCACAAATTTTTGTGCACCGGGCCTCTAGTGTTAATAATAATAATAATAATAGCAGCATCTCCACAGTAGTTTTAAAGAAAGGTCAGTTTGGAAATTTGACTCTATAGTACATGTGAAGAAATACCCCAGTCCATAAACACAAGTATCAGGTCCATGAAGCCAAAAGATTTTCAAAATGATGACAAGATGCATCAATGTGTCACAGTATGATGACATCAGTCATTAAGATAATATAACTAATTCCCTGACTCTGATTCTAAACAGACAACCTTCCTAGTATAAACTGTCTTCCCATGCATATGAATGCAATGTTAGCAACATTTCCTCTCCAATATCAACCAGAGTTCAATACACTCCCAACACTAACAGTGATTCACTAGGACAGTCATTTTTTATTATTGGTGTGTTTGTTTGTTTGTTTTTGATAGCAAGAGAGACACTTATGTGAGAAACATTGATCAGTTGCCTCTCATACGCACCTTGACTGGGGACTGAAACAGCAACCTAGGTATGTGCCCTAACCAGAAATCGAACCCACAACCAACCTGAGCCACCCAGCCAGGGCAGGGTAGTCATTTTTAACCAGGAGGCATCCATAAGGAACTGCTTATTTTTAAAAGCACCCCAAATCATTGAGATTTTTAAGAGTTCCTTCTAATAGTTGAGAATCATGGGCCTACTTTGAGATTGGATTGACCTAATTCAATGAATTTAGTAATTACATTTCTCTCTGCAAATTAAAATTTTGGCATTTTGGCCCTAGCTGGTTTGGCTCAGTGAATAAAGCGACTAAAGGGTCCCGGGTTTTATTCCAGTCAAGGGCACATGTCCCGGTTGCAGGCTCGATCAATCCCCAGTAGATCAGGCAGGCAATCAATCAATGGCAGGCA